GGCTGCTTGATGTAATTAAGATATCAACCTAAGAATCACCGTCAGACTATAGGTTCTGTGTTTAAATCAGGTTGCCTGTGACTGTTTGTCCTTGACTGAACAGTGTATGAATGTGTGTGTGTGTGTGTGTGTGTGTGTCTGTAACGTGTTTGTGTGCAAGTGACACTGACTCAGAGCCCTGCTCTTCTCTCCCCACAGCTCTCCTATACAAGCCGATTGACCGTGTCACAAGAAGCACCCTGGTCCTTCATGTGAGTACACAGGCTGCATTTACATGGCTTTAAAGGATTCAGTTCATGGAAATTACTAGAACATGTACACAGATCAGGCATAACATTATGACCACTTATCTAATACTGTTTACATGGGAGTCAGTGTGGGAGTTGGTTGGCACTCGTGTCACTCTGCAGCTCACTGTGCATCGTCTGTGAATCCATTTGCTTCCACAGTTCTGTCAGGAAGAGCACAGATGTGTCTACAATTCAGTGAAAAACTTATGTAAAAGGAGTGAAAACTGTGGTCGTGAGGACAAGTTAGAGAATTTTTTTTTTTTTAGACCAATCCAACAGCCTCACCGCTCTAGGTGTGATATCACCACTACAGCCCCTGACTGTTTCTCTTCATAGAGACCAATGTACAGTATTTCTCATTTTCAACCATTTTAACAAAGATTCAAATAAATTTAAATCTTTTGAAAAGTAGAAATAGAAGTTAAAAGTTTAATCTACCGTAGATCAACCTCATCATCAGTGAGCCGTGGGCGTCCATGACCCTGTCTCCAGTTCACCATTTGTCCTTCCTTAGACACTGTTGGTAGGTACTAACCACTTCAGACCAACAACACCCACCAAGACCTGCAGTGTAGGAGATGCTTTGACCCAGTCATCTCACCATCAGTTTGGCCCTTGTCAAAGTCACTCAGATCCTTACACTGGCCCATTTTTCCTGCTTCCAACACATCAACTTTGAGGACTGAATGTTCACTTGCTACCTAATATACCCCACACACTGACAGGTGTCACTGTGACAGATAGTCAGTGTTATTCACTTCACCTGCCAGTGGTCATTATGTTATGGCTGATCAGTGTATAGAGGTACAGTAAATGAGACAGTATGGGTTCTTGTCATAACTTTTATTTTGGAATGACTGTTTTTTTTGTCAGCTGTTCTGTCCATCATCCTGCTGTACTGATTAAAGCAGCTTCAACAAAAGCAGATCTTCAAAGATTCCATCAGTGTTCAGTGACAAAGCTGTGCATTTGCAGTGCAATTATGAATTGAATGAAATATGCTGGATTGTGTTTCAAAATTAGAGCTTCTGCTTATAGCTGGCTGGATTTTAAAACGTAGCAAATGTTAGAAAGTAATAAGATAAGGTCAAAGTAACTTTAATGCACAATAAAAAAAATTACTCATACTAGCTGTTGTTAAAGATATTTTCACATTATTGCAGCAACGATTACTGTATTTTTGTCTTTTACAGTACAGTTAAACTTTTATGTATCGTAGTATCTGTGTAACCTGACATGTTTTGTGCATGTGTGTCAGGACTTGCTGAAACACACTCCTAAGGACCACCCAGACTTCCCCCTCCTGCAGGATGCCCTGCGGATATCTCAGAACTTCCTCTCCTCCATCAATGAGGAGATCGATCCACGCAGGACCGCTGTCACTACGCCCAAGGGAGAGGTGTGTGGAATTGTTTGTGATTACAGCTCTCTTGGATCACCTCTTCTCTAAACATGAATGAGGCTATTCCATTATTCCCTCTTTCCTTTTTAGCTGTCTCAGCAAAAATATTCTGGTGAATGGATTATTCACTTTGACTCCGAAGTTACTGTAAGTGCAGTGTTGTAGGATACAAGGAGAGAGTGAAGGCAGCCAGTATTAATACTGTGTATGCTCCCCTTGACTGCATTGTATTCAGAATGGTTCATATCGTTACGTTCATTTGTCATTAAATATGTCATTTTGAGTATAATTCAGCATAATGTCCTGTAAACATTTACATCAGAACTATCTCATACAGTGATGAATTTCAAAATGTTTTACAAGCATAATTTAGAGATCTATTTCCGTTTTTTCTTTCAATTCCATCTTGAAACAATACTAATCATATGTTTTGTAGAAACTGGTTTTGCTTGTTGTAGTCATTCCTCCTCTTTAAACATTCCTTCCTGACATAACCCCAAATGTAGTGAGAGAGGTCACAAATGAAAACTATTTGTTTTTTATTCTTTACAATTAGTCGTTTCCTTTTATCTGCCCAGATTGTGTTTGTGTCCAGTGCTGAATAGGTTGGGTGGGCAAAAGGTGGAAGTAATGTACCACTATGGCTGTAATGAATACTGATGATACTGATGATGATTTTCTTACTCAGACTCCTGATTCCTTATAATGTCAGATAAACTTTCAAATACACTTTTGCACAGAAGGAGGTCTGCATACACTGACTGTAGTGCTGATTGTTAGAGTGGGTGCATTTTGTCATTTGACCTTGTTGAAACCTTCCAGTTAAGATCCAAGTGAATAAAACAAAGAAATGCATTGATCCTCTTGAAAACAAGGTTTTCTACTTCTTTTCCCGGTCGAGGCAGAAGGCCGCCCACCAAGAGCCAGGGTCTGTTGGAGGTTTCTTTCGTTAAAGGGAGTTTTTCCTCCCCACTGTCACCAAGTGCTTGCTCAAGGGGGATTTGTTGGGTTTTCCCTATGTAATCATATTGATAACAATAAGGTCTAGACCTTACTTTGTAAAGTGTCCTGAGATGACTTTTGTTGTGATTTGGCGCTGTACAAATAATATTTGATTTAATTGATTGATTCTCCAACTTATTGCCAAAATTCAACACCGTTTGATTGGTGTTGGGTCAAGTTCATCAGCGTTGTTTGTGTCAGTGGCACAACAAAAAGTGACATCAAGTTTTTTTTTTTTTTTTTTTTTTAAGGCTCGTCAGCTGGTGAAGGACGGCTTCCTGGTGGAGGTGTCGGAAAGCTCTAGGAAGCTACGGCACGTCTTCCTGTTCACTGATCTGCTGCTCTGTGCCAAGATGAAGAAGACAGCTGTAGGGTGAGGGTGTTTTACTTTCCCTCTTCTTTCAGAGCATCATGACATTGTATTTACCACAGAGGCCTCTGAACACATACCTGCTCAATGAAGATGATTATCTGTATATACAGTTTCTATCAACACTGAACAAAATTATAAACACAACACTTTTGTGTTTGCCCCCATTTTTCATGAGCTGAACTCAGAGATCTACGACTTGTTCTGTGTACACAAAAGGCCTATTTCTCTCAAAATATTGTTCACAAATCTGTCTAAATCTGTGTTAGTGAGCACTTCTCCTTTGCTGAGATAATCCATCCACCTCACAGGTGTGGCATATCAAGATGCTGATTAGATAGCATGATCATTGCACAGGTGTGCCGTAGGCTGGCCACAATAGAAGGCCACTCTAAGATGTGCAGTTTTATCACAGCACAATGCCACAGATGTCGCAAGTTTTGAGGGAGCGTGTAATTGGCATGCTGACTGCAGGAATGTCCACCAGAGCTGTTGCCCTTGAATTGAATGTTCATTTCTATACCATAAGACGTCTGATAATCCAGCAACTTCACACAGCCATTGAAGAGGAGTGGACCAACATTCCACAGGCCACAATCAACAACCTGATCAATTCTATGTGAAGGAGATGTGCTGCCCTGCGTGAGGCAAATGGTGATTGCACCAGATACTGACTGGTTTTTTGACCACCCAATACAGTAAAACTGCACATGTTAGAGTGGCCTTTTATTGTGGCCAGCCTAAGGCACACCTGTGCAATGATCATGCTGTCTAATCAGCATCGTGATATGCCACACCTGTGAGGTGGATGGATCATCTTGGCAAAGGAGAAGTGCTCACTAACACAGATTTAGACAGATTTGTGAGCAATATTTGAGAGAAATAGGCCTTTTGTGTACATAGAACAATTCTGATTTGTGCATGCCTCATTTTGTTTTAGATTTAATTTTAAATTGATGCAATTACCTTTTTGCCCATCAATCTACACTCAATATACAGTATATGTGATAATAAAGTGAGTACATATTTTAATTATTTTTCTAAATTAATTCAAAATAACTCATTCAAATCTCATTTATAAAAGTATTCAGACCTGGGGAGGTGACAGTGGTGCTGTGGGTAGAGCACCACTGGGTCTCATTCCAAAAGTTTTTATACCGCCACAATTTTATCACAGTGGTCAACAGTGAGTTCCTTGGACTTTGTCTTGGTTTTTGTCCTGACATGCAGTGTGACTTATGGAATCTTAAATACACAGGTGTGGGCCTTTCTAAACTATGTCCAATTAATTCAGGTTCTTCAGACACATCTAAAGAAAAATGAAAGCAAACAGGATGTACCTGACTACAGTGTCACAGCAAACGGTTTGAATGTAAATGAGAGATTTTAAGTGTTGGTTTTGTAAAAAATTGTAAAATTTCTAAAAGCATGTTTTTGTTTTGTCATTTATGGATCATTGAGTATAGGTTGATGGGCAAACATTGCATCACTGTATGGATTCGTTGTCTTTCATATTCCACTTTTGCTATTCATGCAAAAGAGCTAGGATATCAGATATGATAGAGTATTTAAAATTTAACCCCATTCCTTTGTTTGTGTATCTGTGAGCAGCACCTGCAAGGGTGTGTTTAAGTGTGACTGGAATGAAAATGAATGGTTTATAAAACAAAGATTTCTGCTGGTATAATGGGCCTCAGAGGCCCATTATACCAGCAGAGGGAGGGTGTAAGAGAAACAAAAGCAGGAGGCTTTGAGGGATGTACTCAGATGATAAAGAAGAGAACAGCCTAGAACAGCCTGGAACAGCCAGTCTTTCGTGTGCTAACATTACAGGATAAGCTTTGAACTGAAGGACAGAACAACACATACAAACATGAATTTGATCAGGATGATGTAATGAATTGTTCTTGAATACGACTGTGAAGTCTGAGTTGAAATGCTTGAAATAAATTCCCATTAGCACCAATTTCTAGAAGACGCATAATTGTTTTCCTACAAAGTAGAAGAACTCAAGGTCATTTGACAGTGAAAGAATACTTTTGCATTTGTTGTACAATTTTTAACCTGTGTTCCTCCAGAAAATACACCATATCCTCTCTAAACCCATCCTGAATTTCAGAAATCTATTTTAAACTAAACTTGCTGAGGCTCTTTAGTTAGGATTGTAGTTGTCAGTGGTAAAGAGTATATTTATAAGTAAAAGCTTGTGAACTATATGTAAAAGTACAAAAGTATTATTCGCTAAATGTACTTAAATTACCAAAGTTAAAATGGTCTATTATTAAGGTATGTATTATATTATTGGATTATAATAGATGTTTTTGTGTGTAAGCAGCATTAATTTGTTATCGTAAGTCAAGGTGACTACTTGTACCTATTTTATATACTATTGGGTAAGATAATCTATAACACTCCATCAAATTTTTATTTTATTTTGAATGTATAATCCCAACCTGTACAATAACTATAGATAATTGTAGCACAGTTAAAAGTACAGCATTTTCCCAGGAAATGTAGTGGACAAAACAAAACAAGTGTAATACTCAAATACTGGTAGCTCGGAACTGTAATTGAGTAAATGTACTTAGTTACATTCCTCCACTGGCAATAGAGTTTCCAGTATATGGATTAATCTCATTAGTCTGCTCAGTGTCCTGCTGATGAAGGTACTGCTCTGTAAAGGACTGTGCAGCACATTAGTGACGGTGAAAATGAATTTCCTGGTAGAAGTGGCACATCATTTTCATAAATGTAGCTGGGTGACTGCATGAATAGGCTGAAAATGATGCATTATTGTGACATGTTTGAGGTGGAATTAAATTAGCCTGCAGGTCAAACAAGCATAGAAGGGTAATAGATTTATGATCATGATGTTAAATTGCAGTGCCCCTCAATAGGCCGGTGTAGTAGTTTGTGAGACTATCTGGATGTTATATGTTTTGCATGTTGACCTTGTATGTCTATGTAAAAGTTTGAATGTTTAACCTTTTTGTTATGGTGATGTGAAAAACATATTGTTTTATAATTCTTTGTAACTTATTTGACTAATTTGTTTCATGTTTTCCTTCTTATCGTTTATTCCTGCATCCTACCGTCCTGACCCTTTTCGGCCATCTGCAGTCGTAACCAGCAGTATGAGTGCAAGTGGTACATCCCTCTCGCAGACTTGACATTCCAGACACTGGACGACTCGGACTCTTGCCCCAGCATCCAGGTCCTGCCAGAGCATGAGATTGAGGAGATGAAGATCAAGATATCAGTCTTAAAGAGTGATATACAGAAAGAGAAGGTAATCCTGTTAACTTGGCATGTTGGAGCCAGATGTGGCTCAGAATGGCTTATAGAGCGTGGATTGAACATTTAGACAGAACTGAAACTGCTTTGAATCTAACTAATGTAACAAAGGAGCCCATTCAGGAGACCTCACTGGCCTGGTCATATAGAATGTGTGGTTATTTTTCTGTGACTAACGTTTCACCATGAGTTTAATAAGCTGATACGGAACAACTGGGCAAGTCACTGTAACTGAAAAAGGTTAATACAGAGTGTCACAGTATGGCTGTACTTTAAAGAGACTGGATTATCTGCTGAGATTGACATATGCTTTGTGTAAAATCTAAATTATACATGTGATGCCATTTCTATCTGGAACTGTTTACAGTGTGAGGTCAGAGGAACAAGAAGATGCATGTTGGAATATTACAGTATACAGTACAATATAACATGTTGGAGCGCTTATAGAAACAGCGAGCACTGTGATTAAGTAAAAAGTTATTTTAAACCTCTGCTCTCTTGAATTAATCATTAGCTCTTACTGAGCTAAAAAACAACACTAACAAATACAAGTGACTTAGGAGGAAAGTTTTGATTGGTCTTTCCAGTGAGACTTTGATACTCATCTGTTTATATAATGTCTGTATATCATGGCAAGAAACTTCCATGGAAGACTCCCCTGATTGTTTACTGGAACCACTGTGTGTTACTATTAGCTCGGTACTTGTCACCCACACCTTTGTTTGTCTTGGACAGGGTCAAGGTATAGTAAGCTGTAATGTGCCATGTAGGGAAGCTCATACAATTGTGAGTGCATGAAATCATAGACAAAAAAGTGAAATACAAACATGCATAGCAGTCAAGATCAGTCTTGATCTCGAGACCACTTTTTGTATCCATATTGTCTCAGGGTCTTGGTCTTGACTTGGTCTCAGTTAAATGGGCTTGACTACAACACTGCATAACACAGTGTTGCTCCTCAGACTAGGATAAAATGTGAAAGTCAAACCAAGGCCTTAGCTTTCAAACTTGTATAAAAGTTCTTTTTTCCTTATCTCACATTAAGTTATTGTGATTGGCATCAGTGGTTGAAGCCCCGCTTCACACATATATTTTAAAATAAACATTTTCATGCCTTTTTCATCTTATCCTGGCAGTGTGAAACATTTGACTGCTGACACAAATTGGAAAAAAAAGATGTTTTAAGCTTTCAACAGTTACAAGTATGTGCTGCATTACATCCCCACACCCGTGGCTGAGACACATCAAGCTTTCAGGAGCACAGAGTTCCTGTTATTCCCCTCTCACACTGTTAAACTCACCCACTCAAGGCACAACAAGTGGCCATGGCTGATATTTAGAGTCAGAGGAGGCCAGAGCAGTGAGAAATTCAGCTGATTGTGTCCAGGCTCTGACTCATGGCTTCCTGGTGAGGGCTACAAGGATGTGTGTATTTGTTTTCTTTATTAGCCATGTACATGTACAGCTGAGCTCCTTAATTTTTATTTAAAGTTTTTTGCAGCACACTACACAGCTTTCAGTCCAGTCTCATTTCCCTATCGTGATGATTTATGTATTTAACCTTTATTTATAAATGGAAAGTCCCTCAAGGTCAAGGACCTCTTTTAAACGGGCGTCCTGGCAAAACAGCAATGATGATGATGATGATTGTTGTTATTATTATTAGAGTTAATTGATACTAAACAAAAGTAACGTGCATACAGATAATCTAAATAAAAACTTGGAGAGAAAAGTCAAAGAAAAAAGTAGCCCCGTACCATAGTAACCGAAGCTTTGCTGTTGCCCCAAATTATAATAGAAATGTTTGCCTTTTCCTTTATGTTTATGGCAAGTTGAAACTACCTGTAAAGGTTATTTATCAATCAGGTCATTGTTTTTTTTTCATTGTTCCTAGATTTACCAGACATGAACATGTGTTTTTTACCAATAGTCAAATAACACAGTCAACTTTCAATGATATGAAACAGAGAGAAAACAATCGTTCATATTTTAGAGGAGAGTGTGATTGTTCCAGGAATATAACAACAATGTTGATGGGACATTCTGAGATTTAGTAATGTCAAAATGTGCTATTGCAACATGAAACATACATAATATTAATCAACTTGGTCACTTATTTGTCTTCCTTTTATTTGGGCTGTAACCATGCTCTACATTTTGAACTACAGTTTGTGGGAGGGTAGTAGGAAATGTCATGTTGCTGTGGAGTAAGCTGTGGTTCCAACTCCAGCCCTGTTTTTCAATCCTGTATTTGTTTACATTTTGACAAGGTGGTAACTTTAAAAGTCTACTGAATTAGCTATTGTTGCTTCAGTGACTTTGCTTCACATTCCTCCATAACAGTTGAAAACTCTGTTGTAAAGGTTGTAGACAGTAAATAGTTCTTTCTGTCTCATTGCTCATAAATTTTAATGAGTTTCAGCACTAGATGCTAAATGTCTGTTTGCTTGTTTGTTTGTATGTGTGTGTAGAAAGCACCAAAGGGTCAGAGTCGTGTGGAGCGCCTGAGGAAGAAGATGAATGAGCAGGAGTCATGGCTGCTCCTGCACTCACCCACTATCCCCTTCCGCATTCTCAACAAACATGGAAAGGTGATCGATCCATTCACATCCTGTTGCTGTCTGTGTAGCAGTAGGGCTCACATCCTACCACTAGAGGGAGACATGTACTTCTCAAAAGAGTCCTTTGTGACAGATTAGGTTTAGTTTCCCAAAATAAAGATCTTATGGCAATGAGATATAAAGATTTAACACCATAACTTTGTAGTTTTTATGTGCTTTTCCACATTATACTGTGTTTTTTGTAGCTCTCTAAGTACAGTAATGATTTTTGTCGAGAGGAGATGTCCTTAACATGATTGTTAACTGTGTTGTTTTTTTTTTCTGTGTGTATCTAGAGCTACCTCTTCCTGCTCTCCTCTGACTATGAGAGGTCAGAGTGGAGGGAAAGCATCCAGAAGCTTCAGAAGAAAGGTGACACCGGCCTTACCGAATGTTTTTGTCCTTAGACATCGATGTATAAAGAGTGGATTAAAACCTCTTTCCATAGCTCTTTGACCATAGCCGTGTGGTTGCTGTGCTTTTTTCAGATCCCCAGCCGTGTGTATTAAGTTCTGTCGAGCTCCAGGTTCTGACCAGCTCCTGCTTCAAACTCCGAACCGTCCACAACATTCCTGTCACCAGTAACAAAGATGGCAAGAAGCAGTCACACACACACAATATCTCTATTCTCTTATGTCTGGACATTGTTTCTCCTGCTTTCTCCTCTTTTCTGCAATCACAAACACACCCAGTCTCCCATTTCACCCTCCTCTCTCCTCTGTTTTGGGTTTACAGTAAACTCACACAAAAGCACCTATTACATTATTAGCACACAAAAAAGGGCCGCATAATGAGAAAGGGGGGCTTTTCAGGAGATGAATCTAGTTCCAGTATGTTTCTCATCTAGCCTGTAGCAGTCAGTACCACACAGTTTGGCAACAATGGCCTGTGCTGGACTCCCACTTCCTATATGTTTGTTTTTGCTCCAACTGTTTTCAGAGGCTGGTGGTGACATTAAAGCCATCTGATCTCCTTGAATACCACAAGGGTCTCTGCTTTCACATGCACACACAGCACACCCGCATAGCCACAGAGCTGAGGGAGATGTTTCAGTTCTGTACTGTCTTCATCTTTCTCACATTATACAGAAAAAGAGAGCCATGTTTGCCTCTTACACAGTGGAATCTCTGTGCAAGCAAGCCATTGTCTCGACATCTGTTACCTTTAAAGTGGTGATAGACTCAGACTGTTTTGCTTTTTATTTGAATTCTGCATTCTGGTTAACTTTGATGGGAACAAAAGGTCACTGCTGTTGTGCTTTTCGTATGAACCTTCCAAATATCAGTTGTCAGTTCAACAGTGAAGCCAGTATTGTGACTTTTAAACATTTAAGTTTAAGGGAAGTGTCTGTTTTTGTACAGCTAATCTCTGCTGTCTCTGCTCATGCTAATTATCCAGGTCTTCCTTTAGTGATACCAAACTAGAAATGTAAAACACCATGCCTCCAGCTGACTGCCAGATTGTATGTAGCAAGTCGAAAAGTTTTCATCTTGGCTTATACTTTACAATATATCCATGTTTGTGTTTGTGTTTGAAGTTAAAAACCTTAAAATTACTTTAATTAAGCCAACGTTTCAACAGACAAACTGGCTTAATCAGTGCCTGAGATCGCACTGGGATTTGTTCAGGCAACAATACCTTGACTCAGCTGATCTCCGTCAGCCACTCCCACCTGTTAAATCAGTGCACGTCACAGAAGCATCGCACACACTCCACAATCAGATGAAAAGACTTTCTTCCTTAGCAACAGCTCATCCATGTTCATTGGATGTGCTTCCTCTGCAAAATGAATCATGCTTTACTGATACAGACTTTACTGCAAGGACACGTGGATCATAAAATAAAAATAACTTTAAAAAATGGATTGTCCTGTTTGTGGATGTTAAAATATCAGAGATAAAAGAGTCTGTGAGCAGAACAAATCTACTGATATGTTGAATGCATTTAAAAGTTCTTTTCTAAATCAAGAATATGCCAGTGTTTTATTCATTTTTATCTTCTGTTCAGAGCATTATTAGTTATTTAATTAAAAAATTCTCAGATATATTTTATACATTGATTTGCTTGAAATAAGTTCTCATCTGAATTTGCTTGACATTGTTTCGGCAGCAGTAGAACTGATTTGATTAGATTTTTAACATCTCATCATGCACCTCTCCATCTAAACCAGGTTTCTCTAAAAAATGTTTACTGTAAATTGAAACATTTCTCAGAGGCAGCTCATTATTAGAGGTGTTCGGTAAATAATGTTAACCTTGTTGGCAGACTCCAGGAAGTTTGACTCACTTTGCTGACTAGATTAAACCTTCACCAGAGGTCTCTCAGTTGGCTTCAGTTTTTTGATATTTTCCTCGGGTTCCCCGGGAGGTGATATCCCTGTGTGGTGACAACAGGAGCTCGGGTCCCACGTCTTGTCCTGGACCTGCTCCTCATTATAAAGCAAATGTAAACACACACACACACACACACACCTCAGGCTCAGGAGATGCTGGAAGGGCAGTAGAGGTTGAAATGGAGTCCAACTGGCACAGGCCTTAAGCAAAGCAAGAGTGTATCCCTGTTATGTGTCTGTCAGCAGGGTGGGGTATATCAGGCCACCCCAAACATGTCCACCCATGGACCTCCACTCTGCAGCCAGTTCAGTTGTTATGGCAGAAGACTGCTTGTTGATGTGAGGTCTGATACAGATCTGACAGAAAGCTGCAATAATAGTTCATTTTTACTCCCATCCTCAAATAAGTTATTTTTTCAAGCCATTTTTCTTGTGCAATGTATTTCTCAAACATAAAGTAGTAACAGAGTTGAAAGGAGGAGGACAGGTATTGTAGTTTACCCACAGTTTGGATGAGAAGCACACATCTGTTCCTCTGAGCAGTTTTGTGTTGTTTAGCCATTTTTAAAAGTGAAAATCATAATATGAAACAGTGAAAAGGCATTTTTGTGGCCATATTCTAAATCTTTCATTCTTTTTTCAGTCTTGTTCATACAAGAGCTTCACGTGTGGTTCGCCAAACTCTTTTCAGCCACCTGTTCATTCGTAAGACGTGATCATTAGCATCTGTGCCGAAAATTTGCCATACGAGGTTCCGCTTTCTTTGTGGGAATGTTTCATTCACAAAAACGTTACCAAAGAGTAAAAAATAAATAAAATAAAATAAAATTGGCACTGCAGAGCGCAGGTCCTGCTTTTGGAAACCAGCACATGAAAATCTAGCTGATTTGTTGGCAGCAGTCATATTAGAAGGACACTAAACTGCCAATGAAGTGTAATCAGAGGAGCAACAAGGTGCCACTGGAATATAAAGTTAGGAGAACTCGGTCCGTGACTAATAACCCATGTGGTCAGAGGTGGTAGGCATTATAGCAGCAGAAGGTGATGTTAGGCTGGAGAATACTGGACAGCCACCTGCATGCCATTCCCTGAAGCAGTTGTCAAAGTGTGAGAAATTTCCCAACAACTACAACACTGGAGGCCTAAGGTTGCTGTGCTGTTAATAAAATATATCAAATTTAATTAAAAAAATGCTAGCAAACTGAAAAGTTATGTTGCTGTTGATCTGGTGAGCAGAATGTTAAGTTTGTATTGTTTTATTTAATTTATTTCACTTTAATTTTTAAACTTCAAATTCAAAATTCAGAAAGGCAGCCTGTACATAATTGTACATGGAAATTCTAAATGGGAGAAAATGTTCCCCTTCACTAGTACATGCAACTGCCAAACAAATCTGTTTGTATGAGCGGTTCTTGCACAAGGTCCATTGTAGTCAAGGGACTGCAAAAGCATATTGACACAGTGCAGTGGTGATCAGTGGTATGACTGCGTTTTTCTTTCTGCTTCTAACTGTGCATCTCTCACTTACCTGCACAGTGTCTGTAGAGATACAGACGAGATCCAGAACTGTCTTGTGTGTAATGAGTTTCTGTGCACTAATGTCTTTGCTCTTGTTGATGTTATGTACAAAATCTATCATCTTAAATAGTGTCACCATATGTACAATGAGAATGAACTAACTGCTCCATGTGCCTGTTTTCCAGATGAGGAGACTCCCGGCCTGTACGGCTTTCTGCATGTGATCGTCCATTCTGCCAAAGGATTCAAGGAGTCGGCCAGTAAGTCGCCACACACTCAGGCTCGGCTTCCCCTGACACAGAGCTGCTGAGCATATACGTGTCTGCCAGCAAAACACATGATCCAGTCAATCACTGCAGCCTGCACATGCAGTTTCCATCATGCATCTTGCAGAAATTTTCTTTGTACAACTGTGTGCAGGCATAGCTGTGTGTGTGTTATCAGGACCAAGCAGAGGCTGTTTCAGGCGTGTCCGTAGTGGGCAGCTGACGTTTTGGTACATTTTGTGCCCCAGAAGCAATATCAAATAACAGATATCTGGAAAAGAGACAGATAGGGAGAAACATGATTTCTTGTGGTACCATGACAGCCTTCAGTTTATGGAAGCTGTCCTGCTAGAACTTACCAGGTTATTGGAAAGCTCTCTTCTCCGAGAGCCTGTTTGATCCTTGATATAGCGTAGAGAGCTGAGGGCTTTAAAAATGAAGAAGGTGCATATTTGTCTGTGTGCTGGAGGAAGTTGGGTAGTTTGACTGATACAGTTTGATGTCAGCATGTCATGTGGTGAATGAAATCCATGGGGGTAGTGTGGGGTAGATGATGTGTTGGTGTTGTTGGGGATCACAGTGGTGGTGATGATTATGATGATGGGGGCCATTATAGATGAGTTTATCCCTAAAATACATTAACGTTACATTCTCTTTTTAACTGGCAAAGAGGTTTTGTAGATGGTGTAATAATTAGTCAAAATACAGTGAAATTTCCAAAATGTAATTATTAGGGTTGTAGCGGGGAGGAAAAGCACACATGGTAAATGCCATTTACCAAGCTCAAAAGCTAGAACAGCATCTATGCAGATCCCCTGGTGTGTCTGTTCTGTGTTTACACAGGTTCAGTTTTTCTTTTCTGTACTGGAATCACACCACTCATTTGTACCAGGTAAATGAGGAAACACGCTTGTGTTCACTGAATGCAGCACAGATGTAATCAGAGAGACATGACAGAGATCATCAGACAATGTGGCCTTATGTCTGCATTTACAGAAAAACATGCTGTATGACATGTTAATCTAATCAGTTAAAGATTATTATTATTATGTAGGATAAGACCTTAGACTTGACTCAATTATAATAATGTACTCCATCAATCTGACTATAATTTTTAACAGTTTTATTCAGGTCACACTGTCTTCTGCCTGCATCATTCTCTCCACTACCACTAATTATTACAACTACACCACTTCATCCAGATGGATCCAGTTTCCTTTGTTGTGCAGTGATGTTGGCTGTGTTGTTGTGTAATTCAGCCTCTGTGTGTTAGAGGTTTGATGTGGTTTCACTTGCAGCTGCTTCAGACAGTTTTCATTGTGTTCATTTCCTCTGCATGCCATGCATTCCACGCAAGGATTTTGAAGCAGTTTTATATGATAGTGTGTGTATGTGGTTCTGTTTCTGCATATGGTAATTATTATCATATCAGAATGGAACTGTGTAATGACGGGAAACAGCAGTCAGAGGTTCAAATTGTTATAGGTGTACTTATAATCAGCATCTCTTTTTGTTCCTTTTTGTGATTGAAAAATCGCATAAGCATGTACTAGAAGATGTTATTGGAGCTCTGTTATGTATGTCACAATGATCTGACCACAGTTGGAAAGGGCTTTAAATCCAGCCCGATGCAAAGTATTCAAACTGGGTCACCGAGAAGGGAGTTGGGAGGAGAGCAGTTCCCAAAAAGCCGGTTTAAAAACAACTGTGGAAAACGTGACCGAGTAGAGAGATGTTCTTGGTTTCTTTTTATATGTGTGTGAGCAACAGAAAGTGACTTTGTGTTATTTCGACAGCTTTTGTAACTTGATGCTGTAAAATTGTACTTGCCAGTGTTGGATAGGAATAGTGTGTACAGCAACTAATGAACTGTCGCAGGTGTTCAAACTGAGTGAAGCCACACAGGCATTTTAAATAACCTGCAGTTAGTTGTATGAGCTTAGTTCATGTTTGATATTTACACTCACCGGCCATTTTATTAGGTACACCTTGCTAGTATTGAGTTGAACCCCTTTTTTCTTCAGAACTGCTTTAATTCTATGTGGCATAAAGTAGATTCAACAAGGTGCTGGAAACATTCCTTAGAGAGTTGGGTCCATACTGACATGATAGTATCACACAGTTGTTGCAGATTTGTCAGCTGCACATCCATTCCACCACATGCTAAAGGTGCTCTATTGGATCGAGATCTGGTGACTATGGAGGCCAATTTGAGTACAGTGAGCTCACTGTCATGTTCAAGAAACCAGTTTGATTGATTTGATTTTAGCTTGGTGCATTATCCTGCTTGAAGTAACCATCAGAAAATGGGTATGTTGTCATAAAGCGATGGACATCATCAGCAACAATACTCCGGTAAGGCTGTGGCATTTAGACGATGCTCAGTTGGTACTAAGGGGCCCAAATTGTGGCAAGAAAATATCCCTCACACCATTACACCACCACCAGCAGCCTGAACCATTGATATAAGACAGGATGAATCCATGGTTTTATGTTGTTTATGCCAGATTCTTACTCTACCGTCTGAATGTTGCAGGTGAAATCTTCTTTTGCCCAGTTTTGTTGAGCGAATTGTAGCCTTAGTTTCCTGTTCTTAGTTGACAGGAGTGTCACTGCTGTGGTCTTCACATCTTCACGTCTTCATGCACTGTTGTGCATTCAGAGATGCTCTTCTGCATACCTCGAGTGTAACAAGTGGTTATGAGTTACTGTTGCCTTACTATCAGTTCAAACCAGTTTGGCCATTGTCCTCTGACCTCTGGCATCAACAAGGCCTTTTCATTCAGACAACTGCCACTTCCTGGATATTTTCACTTTTTCAGACAATTCTCTGAAAAATCTCAAGGTAGTTGTGTGTGAAAATACCAGTAGATCAGCAGTTTCTAAAATACTCAGACCAGCCCATTTGGCACCAACAACCATGCCAGGTTCAGAGTCACTTAAATCACCTTTCTTCCCCATTCTGATGCTCAGTTTGAACAGATTGTTTTGACCATGTCTGCATGCCTCTAGGCATTGAGTTGCTGCCATGTGATTGGCTAATAAGATATTTGCTTTAACAAATATTTAATTAGAAGGCAGCTGTGGATCAGGAGGTAGAGCAGTCATTCTCTAAACGGAAGGTCAGTGGTTCGATTCCCGTTCTCCCCAGTCCACATGTCAAAGTGTCCTTGGGTAAGACCCTGAACCCCAAGTTGCCACCAATGGTCAGAGCAGCACCTTGCAGGGACAGTGCCACCATCGCTGTGTGTGTGTGTGTGTGTGTGTGTGAGAGTTGGCTCCGCATATGGCTGCCTTGGTTCTGTACCAGAGACAAATCCCTTGTGTGCATTACATACTTGCCCAGTAAGTGTTGAAAGTTAAGTGGCCGGTTATTGTATATTAATAACTAATAATGAAATAATTAATGGAATAAGTGCAGTTGATACAGAACAAAAGAAAGTTAGATAATAATTTAGAGGTTTACATGTTTACATGTTCTTATGATATCTGCATATAATTAAATCCACACATATCTGTTTCATTCCAATTCATTGTTTCCTCTTGGGCTTTATGAAAACAATTCAGTTATGACTCTTCTTTCCTTATTTTGTTCACTTAGAATATTTTCTCCTGAAGCCTTCAAACCCAAACATACAGACACATAGTCATTGTGGAAATGGGGCTTGTAGCTGTAGAGATAATGATTAGTTTAACTAATTGTCACTTGTCTCCTAATTCTATGAACCCACCGTTTGACCCAACATTCAACACAGCCCCAAGGAAAGATTAGCTTCCTATATAAGAATATACACATACTACAAGGGCTGTAGTCCTCAGCTAATTGAGGTGGAAAAGGGTAGTGTCCATTAACCCCTGCATTTAGGGGTTAGAGACCCCATGCTGACCAATTTATCCCCCCTATAACTCTGAGTCTGTTGGTGACCTGCTAGTAAAGTGAAAACTCATTGCGCTCAGGTTTTGTTATTCTGTCCTAAACTTACCAGAGGCCTCCTGGACCCACTGCAAAAACACAAAAAGACCTCTAATGTGCTTTTCTGGCCTTGTTTTAGTTTTAGGTCTGGGCACATAAATCCATTTCAGGTGAGAAGGGAGCTGCCCAGGATTATGAATACACACCTCGCTGCTCCCGGCTACATAAAACGAGAGGTTTAAACTCACAGAAGTGTTTAAAACAAATGTCTCCTCTACTTTTTGTATCAAAAATGTGACCCCTATCTCCTCATTGAAACAAACTTTGACAGATAGTCTGCATATTTCTGGGATGCTTCTTTGTGTAGCAGAAGTGTACAATAACTGCCCCATTTTAGAAATATCCCCCAGATGGTCAAATTGAATTCCCTTCTGCTGAACTTCCCTCATACCACTGCCTCTAATCTCTTCCTCAGTGGGAGTAATTATGCCAGAGCCTTTCAGGATGCTGAGAAAGCAAACAAAGAAGAAATGAACCCAGATGTAATAAGATTTCATTATATTGTTAGCACTAGTTATACAGCTACATATGTGAATGTTTCTTGTAGTCAGTCATCGCTCACCCAGGTTAACCAGGCACATGTCAGGCAGTGGGGGGTGATACCATCACTTTTGATGTTTCAGTGTAAACATGTTCTCTGTCACTGAGCTAACCCCTTGGTTTCCTCACCCAGTCATGCAGCTCTCCTGGTGAAAGCTAGAGCTTTACATTCATCCATCATGTTGTCAGATAGAAGTGAACCCCCAGCTCAAACTGTGGGACTTACTAAAGACTTACTACAGACAGCTGGTAGCATGATTTGCAGGAACGGCTAACACAGCATTTACAGAAGCACATTAACAGACTTAATTGCTCTGTGTAAGAGCCAAGCATGAGCTGATCCCAGGGGAGTGTCGGCTGTGTGATGAGGATGTAAAGAGTGGAGGGCGGATGGCGGTAATCAGTGTCTACCCAGGCAGTAGACCAATGGCTGTCAACTGACAAACTCCAACATATTGACATTTTAATGGGCTGGTTCACTTTGAAGGAACGTAACCTTTTTCATCTTGTAACCGCACATTTGTTACCCATCTGCTACCAGAGTTAGATACTGAGTCACTCACTGTCACTCTGAAAACTTTAGGACTCCTACATTCAAACCTTTCTTGGCACACTTTAATAAGAAATATTACCTGTTTCAATTTGTCTTTTACTTTTATGATTGTCTTTTACGTCTTCTTAGAGAGAGATTTCTTTTATTACGTGATGAAAGCAATGTGATCCACAGAGGCCTGTAATCTGTCACCACCGTTATGTCACAGATGTGTCCTCTCACAGTGACAACGCAGTTAAGAAGCCTAAAAGCCTAAATGTTTATTCAGTAGTCTACAAGCATCCACAGTTTAATCTGTAATTTATTAATGTTTTTTTATGTCTATGATTTTATATCTGACAGATCTGTCTACATTTTGTCTTTCCTCTTAGATCTATACTGCACTCTTGAAGTGGATTCATATGGATACTTTGTCAGCAAGGCCAAGACCCGAGTCTTCAGAGACACCATAGAGCCACAGTGGAATGAAGTTAGTTGCCAGAATGTCTCCTTTTCCTGTACATTGTGCACTGATTTTTGTCGCTATATAAAGTCAAATATTTTATTCTCCTGTTTTGTGTCATCCAAAAGGAGTTTGAAATTGAGTTGGAGGGCTCCCAGTACCTACGGATCCTGTGTTACGAGAAGTGTTATGACAAAAGCATGCTCAACAAGGATGACAACGAGATTGTGGACAAAATCATGGGCAAAGGGCAGGTCCAGGTAGGAGGATAATTGTTGACAGGCCATTACAAAAATAGACCATACACAGATAGAGAGATGTCTGTGTCCTTGTGGGAAAGTTTGCATCATGTAACTCATTTTGATTAAGTGTCTAGTCTCTGTTCACAACGCAGACAGTTTTTTTTGTTTTGGTGGTCTTGAATGATGCTGGATGGATTAATAGTGTGAAAGAGAGTTTATTTAAGCAGGGTTTCCCCTGTCCTGTCTTGTTGGGAGAAGTGTCTCTATAAAATAAAAAACCTTTTTTAGAGTTTTGTTAACTAGATGCTGCGAATAACTAGATGTTTGAGCCAGAACCTGCTGTGTTTTTATTAGCAAAGACAACTTTAATAATGATACATATTACACTCGAATATAGACAAATGTAAATATAAATGATGACCTAAAATCTTAAATAAAGCTAAAGATCTGCTACATGTGCACAGTTAACTACATAATCACTAAAGTTCATAGTATAGTTGGTATTAATTGACTTGACATCCCTGCAGGTCTTTCAGCTTCTTCAACATGTAGTCTTTGGCATTCTTAAACATGATGTTCTTTGAATCAAATACATGCATTCGAAGAGCATCCCTCATCTTTTCCAGTTGGCCCTTTCCTTGAATACTTGCCACTTCTGCAATAAAGCAAATAAATTGTCAAAGCAAGTCGTCAGTGTGACGATTGGCTGTGGCGCCCCCTAAACGGGAATAGCCGGAAGTGACTTTCTTTCTGTTAACTAGATGCTGCCTACACAGTGGAGTCTGTGGTGTCTTGGTATTGAGGCAAAATGCTGCATCGTTGTTTTAGGTTTCACAGAGCAGCCTACAGAGGAGTCTTATTTCCATTTTTCCAGAACTTCTTAGGAAAATCAGTTTGGTCAAGTGATGCTTGAGTCCTGTTATCTTCCTGTAGTTCAGTCAAAAAGGTGCTGCTACACTAAGCAGTTACTTTTCTGCTGCCCGGTAATCAGTAGAGCTCTGTGTTTCAGTCAACTATGAGGGCTTTAGTTGCTCTCATTACTAATGAGAATGCCCTGAATGGTTTTCTCAAGTGATGCATGAGTCAGTGCCATAGGGCACCTTGTGGCATGATATTATTGTTTTTCCTTTGCTAGTTACACTTTTTAACTCTCCATATTTAACTGAAGATATAAATCAGTTAAAGGGTTTCACACTGTGTGTGTTACTGCTACCCATAGCTTGACATTTGTAGTTGTAGGTAAAAGCACTGTTAGGGCAAGTGGAAATGCATATTTCCTGTCCCAAGCTATTTTCAGTCATGCACTGAAACCCTGAAATTCTCTAGACATTACCCTGGGGGAGCTGTATGTGAGAAAGCAAATGTAAGAGTCAGCTGACCCAGACATTAAGCAGACTTTACCCTGCCAGCTCCTTAGTACAAAGTCTGTGTAAGGTCTGAGTGAGCTGGGGTGAACTCATGTGAGAATATAGCAGCATATAGTCCGGACTATTCACATGGATGCTAACATGCTGCTGACCTGATTAGGTCCCATACATCCCTTTTTATTTGTTCATATTTTTATATTGACATACAGTTTTGTGTTATGTAAATAATGTGTCTTTGCTGCTAACATGCTGCTGACCCGATTAGAAGAAGCTTTATTTTATTGTCATTGTAGCATTGTGACACATACAACAAAATTTGTTTGGAGCTTAGGGGCCCCGGGCCGCTGTGTGCATACGCGCCTCCATCGCGGGCAACTTGGGGGGTTCAGTGTCTTGCCCAAGGACACTTTGACATGTGGACTGCAGGCACCGCGTTGATGACATTCTATCATGTGACCGGAGTGAATCTGGAAGATAACAAACATCCGATGGTGAACGAAACAAAAATATCTGAAGACACGACAAGATTCAGGAACTTCTGTTGTTGTTAAGAGCCAGTACCAGAATCATCAGACAAGGGTAGAGACTCAGTTGTTTATGACCAAATTACAAACTTGCTACATGACTGCGTCCATGTCCCACCTCCTGCACCTTAACAGAAAGAAATTGGGGCAGACATGAATCACTCACGTAATGTTGCATTTTAAAGGACAGCATGGATCTCAGAAATACCATGTAAATATTCTGTTCTTCAGTGGGTTTGTTGTTTCTCTTCAGAGCCAAATTAAAAAGCAATGGCAAAACACCACACACTGCTACAGCATGTATGGTGTAGCATTTCCTGTTTGTCACTGGCACTTTTCCATGCTTTTTGTACTCAGTTTGATGATTTGTCTTTGAATGTTGCCTCTGATTCCCTCTGAAGAGCAAATGGGAGGGAGTGAGTGTGCAGCACACAGGTGCATATCATCATCCATGTGCATTGTGACATCAGTTTGTCTCTTGAGCTGGATATTTCTAAATAAAAACATCTAAATTCTAAATAAAAACATATGGATTGCTATCACCCAGTGTTTAGTGGGGTAGAAATTAACGTCTTCATCCAGTTCCTAGTCTTTGCCTAGCTGTCACTAATTAAATCTTCAAGACTTAAACCTGAATGTTATCAGCCTTACTTTGCCTTGCCTTTGTGATTGAGTGAACTGGGTCAGCTTCTGAGTATAGATTAGAGTGCTCGAGAGAGGATTAATTTAAACAGGTAGTCCTCAGTTTTCATAGAGAATAGATTTTTTAACCAGTTTTACCTTTGTTTTTCCACATAACATTTTTTAATAGCCTTTTTTGGTTAAAAGGAACATCC